CAGTGTTTTGGGGTTTCAGGGGTTTAGGGCTTCAGGGGTTTAGGCTGGTTTGGGCATTTTATCAGGGATAGTGGAACCCAACCGAAACCGCACGAGTGGGCACAGGTCACCTTGCTCTCTGTGGCGGCAGCGCCGGAGCGCGATCTTCTCTTCGGAGGCCTGCGGGGGTGTGCATTTGGTTGGGGTTTGCGGGGCTTGGGGCCTGTTGGGGCGTTGCGGCTCAGGGTTTGGAGTTTAGGGTCATGCTTTCAGTGCTTGTGGACTTTAGGCTCGTTGAGGCCTTCGGGGTAGGGTTTGGAGAAAGTTGCATGGTTTCATGTGTGGTGGGCCGCACCCAGGCACCTGTCCAGACTCTCGGATTTTTAGGCGAAGGCCTCCGGGCCGTATTTGGCATCTGGGTTGCTTGCTCAGGACGGGTGGTCACGCCAGGGCCCATGGCTTATAGGGCTTAGGACGGGTGGTAGTCGCGCCACAAACGCTCGCGAAGGTTTCTCCGACGGCTCCGTGGCTGTCTGGTCCATGCGCGAGACCGAGGCTGGACCCAACCCCTCAACCACTCGAAAAAGCCATCTGAAGCCATCGAAACCCCTAAGAAGCCCTGAACCCCTAGACCCCTGAGCCCCTCCCCTAAATTTAAATTCAACATGGCAAAACCCCTAAACATGAAAAGAGGGACGTCTGGCGGGTTGTTCCAGGATAGAGTCTCTCGGATCTGGGAGCATTCTTCATAAGAGATCCTGTACGCACCTCCAGGGCTCAACGCCAACATCATGGGGTGCTTCGGGGACAGGGGTCCAAGGGGTGTCGGTAACCCACAATTCACAGGTTCCCAAATATTCCCTCAAGCTGCGCCATGTACCGTAAACTCTAAACCCTGTAATTTGCAGGCCGTCGTAGTTCTCCAAGCTCACCAGTGCGACGTCACCAGTTTGGCCCGGGGCGCCAGAGAGGGCTACGGCACGGCTTCCGGCTTTTGCGCAGGGACTTGGGTCTGCGAGGGGAGGAGGCTGCAAACACATCGCACCTTTGATGAACCTCAACATCTAACCCCACAAGCCCCCCAAACCCCCGAAACCTCAACCCCCTATTCCCCCTATTCCCCAAGCCCCTTGAGCCCCAAACCCCTTGAGCCCCGACCCTGATTCCCTAAACTCTGAACCTCGAACCATGAACCCTAAACCCTCTACCCTCTACCCTAAACCCTAAACCCCAAACCCTAAACCCCCAAAGAATCGCCCCCCGGGCACAAGGTTTGGATCGAGGAGCCGCCCTGGGGGCCGGTGCTCTACACGGGCGGCGGGGATGGCAAGGCGGGGTTTAGGGTTTAGGGTTTAGGGTTTAGGGTTTAGGGCTTATATGCTTTACAAGGTTTATAGGGGTTAGAAGGTTCATACTGTTTGTAGGATATGTAGGGTATATCGCTTATATAAGGTTGTACAAGGTTTAGAAGGTTTATTCAGGTTTGTAAGGTTTGTCGGGTTTTGAGGGTCTATGAGGTTTGTGGGGCTTATAAGGTTTACAAGGCTCAAAGGGTTTATAAGGTTTATGGCACTCCGACCCGGAAACGGATTTGGCGGCTTTAACAGTTTTGGGTTTCCATTTTTGCAGGGCCATAGCCCTCAGCGATAGTCCCAAGCCTTGAACTGTTTGTCAAGTACAGCTGTAGGGTCTGAGCATCGTTCAGGGCTTCAGCTTCTCTGCAGGGCCCCAAAAGGAAAGAAGGGTTAGAAGCAACGTAGGCTTTGCTGTTCCCATGCGATGTCTGGCACCACGAACTGGGGTGCTAAGCCCTAAGCCCCAAAAAAACCTTGCAGGCTCAAGTGCCTGACGCGAAAAAACATCGAAAGAGCTTGTCCCCCCATGAAAAGCCTCTAAAGGCCTCCAAAATTCAACCCTCCCCTCCTTCAAAGTCCTTAATCCCCTTGAACACGCGACCAAAAGACCCCAAACTCCCTGAACCCTAGATTCCTTAAGCCCCCTTAACCTCCCGAAAATCCTGTATAAACCCACTAAGCCCCCAAATCCAAAAAGTCCTAAAGCTCCTAAAGCCCAAAACTACGAAGCTTCCCTGAACCTCCCTATGCCCTAGACCTCCCTAAACCCTTTGCCCTGTGTGGAAGGTCACTAGCTGGAACCTGAACCTGAATCAAGAGGCTGCCTGGCTTGCGGTAAAGAAAGGGCAAGGGTTGAGGGCTAATAGGGTTTCGGGGTGGTTTGAGGTTGGTGTCTCTTGTTGGGAGGGGGTCCTATGATTAACGGGCGGGCCTCGAGTTTTTTCAAGATCTGGGATGGGGCCCTGTTAACAGCCATCCCTCTGATTTAGATCGACCCGCTCCCCCTCAAGGCTTTATGTTGCGTGTTCTGGGTTGTAGAGTGTGGGGTGCGCAGCTAGTTCAGGGTTGAAAGCGGAGCCCCAAAGCGTTCTCCTAGGAAGATCCTGAAACCCCTCCCAACCTCAAGCCCGGCGCCCGTCAGGATTTTTCCTTGTGGGCGCCGATGAGCAGCCCTGGCACCTTTTTTTGCACCTTCTGGGCACCTTCACTCCAACAGTTCAATACTGTCGACCCTTCAGTATCACATGAATCAGGGAATATTCCCCGAGCTCTAGAGCTTAGTATCAGGATTCCCGGTACCATTTAAGGACTATGAAGGGACACCAAGTTCAAGGGATCTTGCAGTCTCCGCGTGCGGGGGGGGGGGGGGGGGGGGGGGGGGGGGGGGAAGGGGGGGGGAAGGTTAGGGCAAGTATAACAAGCTGAAAGCTTAATTGAGCCACTCAAACACACCTTTTTGAGCTGTGTATGACCTAAACCCCGTTCTCCAGCTCTCTACCACCCTAACCCAAAAAAGATGTTTTTGGCCGCTTGAGCTGGTCAGGATGCAGGGTCTAGGGGTCTTTCGGGTCCAGGTCTCGCTCTTGGTCACAGGAACGGTCGAGCTCACCAGCTTCAACGAGCCGAGGGACTCCACAGATGATGCAACAATTCACCCTGAACCGCAACCTCACCCTTCACCCCTGGTCCCAACATCTCAACCCCTAACTCCTTACAAGCCTAATCCCTAGAAACCCCCCAAGCCCCCGTAGTGTGTTCCCCAACAGACAAAAGACAAAGAAACCTAACTAAGCCCGAAACACACTCTCAACCGATGCCAGGCGGTAGAATGCCGGCACTGTCCACACCTGCACCTCTCAGCTTCGGGCAGGCCCGCTGGAGGGTTCATGGGTTTTGGGCTTAGGGCTTAGTTAGCGCTTAGGCTTAGGGTTTAGAGTTTAGGGTTTCGGGTTAAGGGGCTAGTGTACGGTTTGTTCGGGTGAAACGTGCTGAGTGCAGGTTCATGCATAGTTAGTAAGGCTGTAAGTCCCCAACTAATGTCAAAACGAGTCTCTAAAGGAACCGGCGCCAGGGATGTTAGGGTTTGAAAGAGGTTTGGGGTGTTTTGCGGAGCGTCCCTTAGATGCTTGAAGGCTCTGAGCCCTTTTCCTTCTCTTTCTGGGGTTCGGTTTCCTGTTGAACCCATTGCACAAGAAAAGCTCTACGTTAGACATCCGGCTGTGAGGGAATCTTGCTCCCCAGCAGGCTCCATCCACGACCATGGATAACGAGGCCTGGTGCAAGTTTCTTTCATTCTTTGCAGAAAATTCAGGAACATAGGCAATGTTGATGGCCATTTGTTCTTGGCAGGAAGCCTAAAACCTAAGCCCCGATGAAACCCATCATGGACGACGTGTTACTTTGCTCGAAAAAGTCATCCCTCTAAGCCCTAAACTCCCTAAGCCCCTATAGACTCTTAAACCCTAAACTCCCCCCCCCCCCCCAAAAAAAAAAAAACTGCCCAAAATCCTTGCACCCGATATAAGCCCCTCGAAGCCGAAAGCCCTTCCGTAGGCGCTGAGCGCGTTCGATCCCAGCTTCGGCACGGGGCCAGTCCTTCAAGGAGGCCTTTTAAAGGTTGAGGGCTGCGGGTTCAGCACCTGGTGTTGCGGGTTGCAGGGTTTAAGGTCTTCAAATGTTTGGAACCTAGGTGTTAGGATTCAGTGTTGAGGGTTGTAGGGTTTGAGGTTTTCAAATGTTTGGAACCAGGTTTAAGACGATCCAGGGTTGCGGGCTTGGGGTTGGGATCTATGGTTTGAGGCTTGTGAGGGTGTAGGGACTAGGATCCAGTTTTTCGGGTCCGGGCTTATAGGGCTTAGGGTTTGTGATGTAGGGTTTCAGCTTCAGGGCTCAGGGTTTAGGATCTAGGGTTGGGCTTAGGGTTTACGGCCTGATTGGAGGTTCATGGGCAGTTCTGTCTGCGCATATAAGAGTAGCTAGAGAATGCAAAGAGACCTTGACTTGGGGGGGGGGGGGGGGAACATCCACATAACCTACTTCTTACTTTGTGATCCTGCAAGTAGGGTTTATCCGGAACGTGATGCGGTCTGGTATTGAAGGGATCTTGAACTGCCCCGCCCTTACCCAAAAAAATTGTCCAAAGAGCCCTCAGTGAAGCCTTGCCTGGGTCTTATGTTTTAGGTGGTGGTATACTTTGGGTGGGTGGGCTTTGATTTGGGGGTTTGGATTTTCGGGTCCTCAAGTCAAGGTTTAGGGCCAAGAGTTTCTGATCTTGGGGTTTGGATTGTGGGGTTTCCCCCCCCCCCCAACAAAAACAAAAGGAAAAACTAAGAACGCACACAAGATTGAAAAGCAAGTCGTCTGTACGGTTCACAAGCTTCTGTCGGCGAGGCTACTCGGACCCATTTGCCTTGGAGCCGGGCCGGCGCGTGAACCCACAGGTGTGCGAGTTCAGTAGGGTTCAGGGTTTGATGGGTTCAAGGTTTGAGTTCTATATGGTTGAAAGTTTAGGGGAGGCGGGGGAGACCAGGCCGAGCCAACAAGGATCAGAGAGGCAGAGAGAGGAGGCAGGATTCCATTGGGGCAGCCCTCACCTCGGAGCTCTTGCAGTCTAGAGGCAGATCCCTACGTGTAGATATAGACGCCGGAGCCGTGGATGGCCACAGGATGCTGAGTTTGGCAAGCTTGTTCGCCGATGCAAAGAGCTGCAGGGGCTTTGTTCCGAAGGTCCGGCACGTCGGACGACCTCGGAGCTTGGGGCATCAAGGAGCACCTACATCTCGAGCACCTGCATCTCGATCCTGGCTGGCTGCCGTTGCAGGTGGCGTGGTGAGTTTCCGGAGCCTTTCGGCCCGCAAGTGCAAGCCTGTTGCGAAGGGCCAGTGGCATTCGCACTCGACGGGCCCCGACGAAACGAACTTGCAGCGCGACGGCCGCGAGGGGGAGGTCCTCCACTCCTCAGCTCCGCGAGTGGGCCGCAGGAAGAAGCAGAAAAAAGAAGCGGTCAAGAGGGCTGCGCTCCAGAGGCTGAGGGACCATGCGGCCAGCAAGGGTGGGAAATGCATTTCAGAGACGTACATGAACTGCATGTCGAAGGTCCGGTGGGAGTGCAAATTGGGGCACAGGTGGATGGCCACGCCGAACAGTGTGCTGAACGGCGGAAGCTGGTGTCCTCGCTGCAGCATCAACAAGAGGAGCCTCGGCTTGCACCAACTCCAAGAGCACGCGAGGAAAAGAGGCGGCAGGTGCTTGTCCGACGAGTACCGGAACGCTCATACCAAGGTTCGCTGTCAGTGCAAGCTGGGACACACCTGGGAGGCCACGGCGAACATGGTGTTGAACAAAGGGACCTGGTGCCCCGAGTGCGCTCGCGCAACAAAATCACGGTCAAAGCGAAGCTTGAGGGACTTGCAGGAGCATGCCGCCACCCGTAGAGGCAAATGCTTGGCTACTGAATATGTTGGCGTCATGGCGAAAGTTCCGTGGCAGTGCGAGAAAGGCCACACTTGGAGTGCGCGTGCAGACAGCGTGTTGAATATGAAGACCTGGTGCCCGGCCTGCGCGCAGAATGCACCCCTGGGCTTGGAGCGACTGCGGAGCCACGCCGCCCGCCTTGGTGGAGAGTGCCTGGCCAAGGACTACGAGAACAACCGCATCAAGGTGCGATGGAAGTGCAGCTCTGGCCATGTATGGCGAGCAACTCCGAATAATGTCATCATCAAGGGCACCTGGTGCCCCGAGTGCCAGAAGATCGGCCTGGCACGTCTGCAGGCGCACGCCGCGTCGTTAGGCGGCAGGTGTCTGTCCATGAAGTATAGCAACCGTGAAGCGAAGGTTCTTTGGGAATGCCAGCTCGGCCACAGGTGGAAAGCCTGCGCCGCTAACATCCTTCATCAGCAGAGCTGGTGCCCTCAGTGCGCGGCCAGCACTTGGAAGACGGAAGCTGAAATCCGGAGCATTCTGGAAGCCATCTTCGCCCCTTCAATGTTCGAGTCGTCCTATCCCGCGTTTCTGGGAGGTCTGCAGTTGGATGGGTACTGCTCCGAGCTGTCCTTGGCTTTCGAGTACCAGGGGGAGCAGCACTATGATCCTGACAACTACTTCCATTTCGGCGACCCTTCAAGCTTTCAGAGTCAGCTGGAGAGGGATGAAAGGAAGCGCCAGCTTTGCGAAGGGGCCGGCGTGCGGCTGGTGCTGGTGCCGTGTTTTGCAAACGACAAGCGCCTTTTTGTGCTCACAGCTCTGCTTCAGTGGTTCTCCATGGCTCAGATCACGGTCCCCATGTTGTCGCAAGCTGGCAGCTAGTTGTTTGTCACTTCCACACCGCACACAGAGGGCCGCGTCAGTGGTTGCCTTTGGGTGGGGCCAACATAACTTGCAGCCTGGTTGCTCGTAAGCAATTCGATGCGAGAATTTGCAGCGATTGTCATGTATCTGCTGCAGACCGGCGCAGGTGGGCGAAAGTCGATCTAAACGCTGAACCTTAACCCCACCCTTCCATCCGTCCATCCGTCCCTGTCTTCGGGTTTCGTAGGGTTTTGTGGAGGATTTCAGAGGGAAGGGTCTTTAGGGTATCAAGGGTTTGGGGCTTCATGTTTGTTCGAGTTGGGTCTGAGGGAGCTTTGTGGATTCAACTTGCGGGTTCTGGTGGTCTGGGAGTTGATGGACATGGGGAGTGTTGAAGAATTGATGAGCCCCTTGAAGCCCCAGAAACGTTCCTTTTTTGGCAGCTAAGTCGGGCCTTGGGTTTGTGCTGAACCCCAAAGGCTTCCTACAGGAATCTATGCATCCTCAACACCCGGGAAATAGCCCTCTTCTCCTGGGGCCACCTAGGAGGTAGCCGTATGGGGTTCAAATGGTGCAGCCAGACAGGGGTCAAGCATTTTAGGTTCTCTGAAACATGAACATCAGTTGAGTGCTTCTTTTTGAGAAGGTTTGGGTGTAGGGCTTCCCCCCCCTGGAGACATTCCTCTTGTTTTGCAATGGCTACCTGTAACCGTAGGCCTCCGAGCATGAACCCTTAAGGTCGACCCTAAAAAGCCTAGTCCCCAAAACGCCGAACCTGTTTAGGGTTTCTTCAACCCTTGCGCAAGGCGCTGAAGAAGGAAGGCGACTCTGACTCCGACAACGATCTGGTGGATGCGTTTCACTGAGGGCGCCGAGCCTAAACCCCCTCAGATGGCCCGGCGCGCAACCCTTCCAGTCTCTATAGACCCAACATCCGAGAACGCCAGCAAAAGCCCATACAATTCGGCAGAAAGGCCTAAAGCCTGCAACGAATTCATGCTGGGCCCCCGATAAAACCCGAGAGCCCACAGCACTAAGCCCTGAACCCCAAAACCTATAGGGCAAGGGAGTCAGGGGTAGAATCGGCAGAAGTGGCACCCCGGCGGGCTGTGTGGCCAAAAGTTTGACGAGCGCTTCCTGGCCGGGACCATATGCCAGCCTGAGACCGAAATTGTCTAAGCCCTCCTGCGGGGTGTTTAGGGTCAGGACGATGCGGTAAGAGAGAGGCGATCGGACCAGACAGGCGTGCTCCGTTAGCAAGACAGGGGGCCGAACAGAGACAGCTGAGTCACGGGCTCACGTCACACGCTGAGGACCACCAACACTTCCTCTAGGACCTACATTGACATGTCAATGTATGCACGCAGGGGCCTTGTGGAGCTTAGAGTGGAGGCATCTCAGGGCCTCCAACATCCAAATCCCTTCCCAAACCCAACCAAAAGCCGAGGTTTTTGTTTGGTGCTACAAATTGCACAAACAGGGCACCGTAGACCGTAGACCTCTCACGGCTTGCAGCCATGAACTCGCCACGCGCATCGTGGAGGCCAACCCCGAGTTAGGGTCAAGGGTTGAGGGTGAAGCGGCCAGAGTTCAGAGTCTAGGGTTCACGGGACGAGTATAAACTGACACCACCCGTAGTTTGTACAGTTCCAAATCATCAAAGCAAGACATAGGCGTCACATCCGTGGAGCCCCAAGCTGAAGGGGTTCAGAATCCTCTTAGGGGTGTTAAGGTTTCAGGATGTTTCAGACTTCTGGGCAGCTACACTGCTTCGGGAGTAAGATACTCACATCCCCGAACCACTCCCAAACCCTCAAGACCCCTAAACCCCATGAACTGCAAAACCCCCCTAAACCTTATTGCTACTGGTTCCGGGGAAATGGGGCTTTAGGGTTCTCACCGTGAAATTCCACTTCGAAGCTTCAGCTGCGCAGTCCCAGAGACTTTCTGGACCTTTCAAGCCTCAAAGCAGGGTTTAGGGTTTTGACCTTGGGGTTTATTCGGCTCGTCAGCCCCACTTTCAAATATAGGCCCCAGAGGTTTGAACGTAATTTCTGGGTCTTAGAGTTTATGGGATCTAGGTGCAAACGGCCCGAAACCCTTCAGCCAAGCGGGAGCCAGCAAGGGTTTCTGAGAGAGAGAGAGAGAGAGAGAGTCTTAAACATGCTGGGAAACTTCGTTTGGCAAGCTGCAACATCCTGGCTTTGTTGTTCCCCCCGCCTTGTTGCTTCTGTACACGTAGGCGTCGGAGCCCGAGGATGGCCCTAGGATGTTGAGTTTGGCCAGCTCTTTCGCCGATGAAAGAAGCTGCAGGGGCTTCGTTCCAAAGCTCTGGCACGTCGGAAGACCTCTGAGCCTCGGGCGTGAAGGAGCACCTGCGGCTCCATCCTGGCTGGCTACCGTTGCAGGCGGTGTGGTGAGTTTCAGGAGCCTTTCGGCGAAGCTCAAGAATCAGAGCAAAGGAGTGGTCAAGAGGGCTGCGCTCCAAAGGCTCAGGGATCATGCGGCCAGCAAGGGCGGGAAATGCGTTTCAGAGGCGTACACGAACAGCAGCACGAAAGTCCAGTGGGAGTGCAAAATAGGGCACAGGTGGATGGCCACACCAAGCAATGTGCTTCATCGCAGAAGCTGGTGTCCTCGCTGCGCCGCCAACAGGCGAAGCCTCAGCTTGCACCAACTCCAAGCGCACGCGAGGAAAAGAGGCGGCAGGTGCTTGGCCGACGAGTACAGGAACAATCGTACCAAGGTTCGCTGGCAGTGCAAGCTGGGACACACCTGGGAGGCAGAAGCCGGAGCGGTTCTGAACCAAGAGAGCTGGTGCCCCGAGTGCGCTCGCACAAGAAAATCATGGTCCAAGCGAACCATGACGGACTTGCAGGAGCATGCTGCTGCCCGTGGTGGCAAATGCTTGGCTACTGAATATGTTGGTGTGAGGGCGAAAGTTCCGTGGCAGTGCGAGAAAGGCCACACGTGGCATGCGAGGGCATACAGCGTATTGAACCACAAGACCTGGTGCCCGATTTGCGCAAAGTGTGCCCCACTGGGCTTGGAGCGGCTGCGGAGCCACGCAGCGCGCCTCGGTGGACAGTGCCTGGCCGAGGACTACAAGAATTCCCACACCAAGGTGCGATGGAAGTGCAGCTCTGGCCATGTATGGCGAGCCAAACCGACAGATGTCTTCCACAAGGGCAGCTGGTGCCCCGAGTGCCAGAAGATCGGCCTGGCACGCCTTCAGGCACACGCCGCGTCGTTGGGCGGGAGGTGTCTGTCCAAGAAGTATAGCAACAGCACTGCGAAGGTTCTTTGGGAATGCCAGCTTGGCCACAGGTGGAAAGCCACTGCCCACAGCATCCTTCATCAGCGGACCTGGTGCCCTCAATGTGCGACAAGCACTTGGAAGACGGAAGCTGAGGTTCGGTGCATTCTGGAAGCCATCTTCGCACCTGCAACTTTCGAGTCGTCCTTTCCAAAGTTTCTGGGAGGTCTGCAGCTGGACGGGTACTGCTCCGAGCTGTCCTTGGCTTTCGAGTATCAGGGGGAGCAGCACTACGATCCTGACAACTACTTCCATTTCGGAGACACATCCAGCTTTGATAGTCAGCTGGAGAGGGATGACAGGAAGCGCCAGCTTTGCGAAGAGGCGGGCGTGCGACTGGTGCTGGTGCCGTGTTTTGCCAACGACAAGCGCCTTTTCGTGCTCACGGCTCTGCTTCGGTGGTTCTCCATCGCTGAGATCACGTCTCGCATGCTTGTCACAAGCGAGCAGCTAACTGCTTCTGCCCTCCCCGCATCGCGAGGAGGTTAGGCGACGGTTGCGGAGAGAGAGATGCCGAGGCTGTGTCAGTGGTTGACCACTGCTGGGCCAACACTTGTAGGCAATTCGATGCGAGAATTTGCGGTGTCCTTCGACTGCTGCAGACCCGCGCAGGTGGGCGCAAGTCGATGTAAACACTCAACCTTCCTCCACCCATCCCTCTGTCCCTGTCTTTGGGCTTAGTAGGGATTTGTGGAGGATGCCCCGGAGCCCTGAGCCCCGAAAACCTTACACCCGGGACTGGAGGGATTCAAAGGGGTTTCCGCTAGGGTATATTAGGGGTTTGGGAAGTGGTTTTCGAGTCAAGCCCTGAGGAGCTTTGTGGATTCAGGAAGTTTTGGGTCCATTGAATCCGTTCACCCAGTGTTGCACTTGTTCCTTGTGAGCCCCTTGAAGCCCAAAAGATGTTCCTAGCAGTTTCAGGTTGCTGGGGAATGGGGAACCCAAAGAAAAGAAGAGTCCCTAGAGGCCCAAGAGGCAGCCCCTAAACCCCTGAGCCCTCCCGAGGACATGAGCATTCGGTGAGCAGTTTTGTTCTGAAAAAGTTTGGTTTTAGGGGCCTGAGTTCTATGATTTTGAGAGCTGAAGCTCGGAATCTCTAACACCAGTCCCTCCCGAACCTCAAAGGCTCCACAAACGCACAGCCGGCTCCAAGCTTGAAGCTCCATGGGCGTTGAAACTGTAGAAGGTTATGACCACTTGCCGCGCCCAGTTACAACTACCCCTGAGTTGTAGAGTGGCCTTGGCACGGCTATAGTCCCGAAACGCTAGACCCTAAGCCCGGCCTTGGATCCCTTTCGCATATGGGTATATAGGAGTACTTCAACCCTTGCGGGAGGCGCTGAAGAAAGAAGGCGACTCTGACTCCGATAACGACCTGGTGGATGCGTTTCACCGAAAGCGCCGGGCCTAACCTCTCAGAGAGCTAAACCTGAACATCCCAAAAACCTCCAAAACCCTGAACAATACTGATTGGGCATAATAGCTAACAAGGCTTGCAACAAACTAAGCCCAAAAGCCGCATTCCCTACGGAAACACGAATAATTGCTCCCTGAACCCTAAACCTAGATCAAGGGAATCGAGGGTAGAATTGGTAGAAGTGGCACCCCGGGCGGGCTGTTGTGGCGAAAAGTGTGATGCGCGCTTCCTGGGCAGGACTGTATGCCGGCTCTGGCCCGAAACGTTCGAAGCCCTCGTGCTAGGGGTTTGAGGGTTTAGGACAAGACGGCCTGTGCGAGGTAGTTGAGGCACCCGTGCTCCGTGAGCAAAACGATAATAGGGCAAGGGAACGACGACCAGAAGGGGGGCCGAGCGGAGAGACTGCTTCGTCGTTCTGATTCCTCTCACCTGTGGTGCGCGGGCTCACGACACAGGGATATTGCATCTCAAGCCTCCCCCAACACCCTCCAACATGAGCGTTAAGCTCTGGAAGTCATCCATATAGGGCCCCTACCCCCGCCCCCCCAACCCCGCCCGCAACCCCGAGCCCTTGCAGCCCTAGAAGCTGCAGCTTAGGCAAGGTTCAGGGCTCAGGGAAAATTTAAAGTTGTTGTTTGTCCTGTCCACCTCCCGCAGCCATGAGCTTGCCACTCCCATGGTGGCAGATTCCCACGGAGGCCCACCCGAGTTTTGGGTTTATAGGTTACTGGGATGAGTCTTGAACTAACAGCACCCGTAGCATTAGAGCTGCGAATCGGAGCACCACCGAGGCATCACGGAGCCCCAGAAGCCGCGGCAGACTACAGCCCCAAGTGGTTCAGGATGCTTCAGGGGTTGAAGGTTTCAGGGTGCTTCAAGGGTTTGGGGATTTTCTTTTCTGCAGGAACCGGAGCTCAATCTGAATAGGTCTAGAAGGGCCCGAGCTGCAGCTGCACTGCTTCGGACTAAGACGCAGAAGATTCCGAACCACTCCCCAATCCTAGGAACCCCGAAGCCCCGAACTCCCAAACCTCATGAACCCCGGTTCGGGGGAAGTGGAGCTGTGGCGTTCTCGCCGGTGTAATTCCTGGAGTTCAGGTGCCAGGGGGTTTTTGAAGTTCGAAGTTTAGGGTTTGGAGAGGTCTATAGGAGTGGAGGGTCTAGGGACCTAAGCAGGCAACATTGTTTGGCAAGCTGCAACATCCTGGCTTGGGGCCCCTTACGTATGGACATAGCCCGTCGGAGCCCGCGGATGGCCGTAGGATGCTGAGTTTGGCCAGCGATGCAAGGGGCTGCAGGGGCTTTGTTCCGAGGCTCCGGCACGCCGGAAGACCTTTTAGCTTCGGTCGTGCTCCTTCACCTGCGGCTCGATCCTGGCTGGCTGCCGTTGCAGCTGGCGCCGTGAGTTTCAGGAGCCTTTCGGCCAAGCTCACCCGCAGATGCAAACCTGCTGCGTCGGTGGGCCGCATTGAGACGGACTTGCAGCGCGACGGCCGCGATGGGGAGGTCCTTCACTCCTCAGCTCTGCAAGTGACCCGGAGGAAGAAGCAGAGCAAAGGAGCAGTCGAGAGGGCTGCGCTCCAAAGGTTGAGGGACCATGCGGCCAGCAAGGGCGGGAAATGCATTTCCGAGGTGTACATGAACAACAGAACGAAAGTCCGGTGGGAGTGCAAATTGGGGCACAGGTGGATGGCCAGGCCGAAAGATGTGCTGAATGGCGGAACCTGGTGTCCTCGCTGCGCCACCAACAAGAGCAGGCTCAGCTTGCATCAACTCCAAGCGCACGCGAGGAAAAGAGGTGGCAAGTGCTTGGCCGACGCGTACCGGAACAATCGGACCAAGGTTCGCTGGCAGTGCAAACTGGGACACACCTGGGAGGCCACATCGGACCAGGTTCTGAACCGAGGGAGCTGGTGCCCCGAGTGCGCACGCACAACGAGATCATGGTCCAAACGCACCTTGAAGGACTTGCAGGAGCATGCCGCTGCCCGTGGAGGCAAATGCTTGGCTACTGAATATGTTGGTGTGAGGGCGAAAGTTCCGTGGCAGTGCGAGAAAGGCCACACTTGGAGCGCGAGTGCAAACAGCGTGTTGAACCTCAAGACCTGGTGCCCGGTCTGCGCAAAGCGTGCTCCACTGGGCTTGGAGCGACTGCGGAGCCACGCGGCCCGCCTTGGTGGACAGTGCCTGGCCGAAGACTACAAGAATGCCCGCATCAAGGTGCGATGGAAGTGCAGCTCTGGCCATGTATGGCGAGCATCTCCTGACAGTGTCATCTACCATTGCGCTTGGTGCCCCGAGTGCCAGAAGATCGGCCTGGCACGTCTTCAGGCAAATGCCGCGTCGTTGGGTGGGAGGTGTCTGTCCAAGGAGTATAGCAACGCCCATGCGAACATTCTTTGGGAATGCCAACTTGGCCACAGGTGGAAGGCCAGCGCTAAGAGCATCCTCCATCAGAAGAGCTGGTGCCCCCAATGTGCAGTCAGCGTTTGGAAGACGGAAGCGGAGATCCGGAGCGTTCTGGAAGCCATCTTCGCTCCTGCAAGGTTTGAGTCGTCCTTTCCAAAGTTTCTGGGAGGTCTGCAGCTGAACGGCTACTGCTCCGAGCTCTCCTTGGCTTTCGAGTACCAGGGGGAGCAGCACTACGATCCTGACAACTACTTCCATTTCGGCGACCCTTCAAGTTTTCACAGTCAGTTGGAGAGGGACGACAGGAAGCGCCAGCTTTGCGAAGAGGCCGGCGTGCGATTGGTGCTGGTGCCGTGTTTTGCCAACGACAAGCGCCTTTTCGTGCTTACGGCTCTGCTTCAGTGGTTCTCCATTTCTGAGATTTCGGCCCCCATGTTGTCGCAAGCTAGCAGCTAGCTGCTTCTCGCTTCCGCATCTTGGGCAGTTTAGGCGACAGGGAGAGAGACGCAGTGGGAGGCCATCTTGCCAGGGCCAATAGAACTTGCAAGCAATTCAAAATTCGATGCGAGAATTTGCTGAGTCATTCGACTGCTGCAGACCTGCGCAGGTGGGCGCAAGTCGATCTAGAGCGCTTAGTTGGGTCTTGTGGTGGATGCCCCGGAGCCCTGAAGCCCTGAGCCCCGAAAACCTTACGCCTTACTCCTGGGACTGGAGGGGCGAGGAGGGCTTTGGACAGGCATTAGGGTCTTTGCAGGCTTGGGGTTTGGGAGCTGATGGGCGTCGAGAGGTTTGAGGGGTTTAGGGGCCGTTCCGGTCATTGGGTGGTGCGCTTGGTTTTTGTTCTCTCTTGAGACCCTCGGTTCCCAAAAGCCCTTGTTGTTCCTCTTTGCTAGGTTGCTGAGGGAAGCTTTTAGTTTTGGGCAGCGAAGTCGGGCCTGTGTTTGCGTTGAACCCTCAACCCTTGGACTAGTACTTCAGGTGCATTTCCCTAGGGGCTTGGGGCTCTACGGTTTTGAGAATGAAAGTTCCGAATCTTTAGCGCCAGGCTTCCCGGCCCTCAAAGACTCAAACGAACGACAGGTCGACCCAAGACTCGTCTACATAGACATCCCCCACCCCCTACCATTCGCTCGGTTTTTTCTGACTGGTTACCTGCATCCCTGGACCTCCAAGATTGCAGGTTCATGTCCATTCAAGATTGTACCCGGCTATGACCACTGACAGGGATAGGTACCCGACATATCAGCCCGGCCACAACTACTCATGAACCTTCGAGTGGACCCTGGCAAGCCTCTCTAGTCCCTAAACGCTGCAAGCCCTAAGCCCTACCCAGGTTCTGTTTGTTTATCGTAACTTGCGGACTTTCGAATTGCCGCAACCCTTGCGGGAGGCGCTGAAGAGGGAAGGCGACTCCGACTCCGACAGCGACCTGGTGGATGCGTTTCACTGAGGGCGCCGGGCCTAAACCCTCAGACAGCTGAACCCGCCCGTCTGTAGCGTTAAACGGCCCCCACGGCTGTAGTTGATAACGCTTGCAGCAATTTTAGCCCGAGAGCCGGCATTCCTACGAAAGCACAAAACCTGAACCCTAAACCTAGATCAAGGGATTCGAGGGTAGAGTCGGTAGATGGCAAACCGGCGGGCTGTGCGGCCAAAAGTGTGATGAGCGCTTCCTGGGCAGAGCTGCATGCCGGCTCTGGCCCGGAATTTTCGAAGCCCTCGTGGAACGGGTTTGAGGGTTTAGGACAATGCGGAAAGAGAAGGGCAATTTAGGCACACGTGCTCCGTTAGCAAAACGATAAGGGGCCGAGCTGAGAGACAGCTGTGTCGTTCTGATTCATCTCACCCGTGGCACGCGGGCTCACGACACAGGGACACTGAGGACGACCAGCACTTCCTAGGACCTATATGTCAATGTATGCATGCAAGCGGCCCTGTAGAGCTTTCAGTGTAGGCCGCTCAGGGCCCCGGCCACAAAGCCCCTCCCAGAAGACAGGGCTCAGAAAACCTTACAGTTTTTGTTTAAAGCCGCAAATAGGGCAAAAATGGCACAGGAGGCCGTAGACCTCACAGCTTCCAGCCATGGACTCGCCACGCGCATGGTGGCAGATTCCCCTGGAGGCCAACCCCGAGTTTAGGGTCAAGGGTTGAGGGTGAAGGGTTCAGAGTCTATAGGGTTCATGGAATGAGTACGAACTGACACCCCCCATAGCATTTACAGTCACGTTCCATGGAGCCCCAAGGCCGTGGCGGACTAAAGCCCTGAAGGGTTCAGGATGCTGCCGGGGCTGAAGCTTTCACAGGGTTTCGATGGTTTTTTGCTGCAGGAAAGGAGCTCTAGAGCTCAAAGTAGATTAAGTCCAGAAGGTCCCGAGCTCCAGCTGCGCTGCTTCGGAGCTGGATACTCAAAGCCCCAAGCAGCTCTCTAAACCCTAAACCCCTTAAACCCCAAACTACGCAGTGGCTTCTGGGTTCCCACCAAAAAAATCCGCTTCGAAGCTTCAGTTGCGCAGTCCTGGAGAACCCCATGAACCGTTCAAACCTCCGGGGCATGTCAGGGTTTGGGGATTGCACCTTCGGCTTTATTAGGCCCTTCAGTTCTAAACCCTAAACCTGGGGCCCAGAGGTTTGATATAGCTTTTGAACTTTGGAGTGTAGGGTTCAGGGAGTCCAGGTGTTACGGGGTTTAGCATTACGCTGAGACGGCAAGGGCCTGAGAGAGAGGCAGGATTAATCATTAAACATGCTGGGTAACTTTGTTTGTCAAGCTGCAACATCCTGGCTTTGGGAAATCACATTGGGGTCGGAGCCCGAGGATGGCCCCAGGATGCTGCGCTTGGCCAGCTCTTTCGCCGATGAAACGAGCTGCAGGGGCTTTGTTCCGAAGCTCCGGCACGTCATCAGACCTCTGAAAACGGGGCATCAAGGAGCACCTGTGGCTCGATCCTGGCTGGCCGCCGTTGCAGGAGGCGTGGTGAGTTTCAGGCGCCTTTCGGCGAAGCTCACCTGTAGATGCAAACCTGCTGTGTCGGTGGGCCGCATTGAGACGGACTTGCAGCGCGACGGCCGCGATGGGGAGGTCCTTCACTCCTCAGCTCTGCGAGTGGGCCGCAGGAACAAGCAGAAAAAAGAAGCGGTCAAGAGGGCTGCGCTCCAGAGGTTGAGGGACCATGCGGCCAGCAAGGGTGGGAAATGCATTTCAGAGACGTACATGAACTGCATGTCGAAGGTCCGGTGGGAGTGCAAATTGGGGCACAGGTGGATGGCTCAACCGCACAGCGTGCTTCATTGCGGAAGCTGGTGTCCTCGCTGCGCCATCAAGAAGCGAAGCCTCAGCTTGCACCAGCTCCAAGAGCACGCGAGGAAAGAAGGTGGCAGGTGCTTGTCCGACGAGTACAGGAACACTCGTACCAGGGTTCGCTGGCAGTGCAAGCTGGGACACACATGGGAGGCCGCAGCAAGAACGGTTCTGAACCAAGGGACCTGGTGCCCCGAGTGCGCTCGCACAACGAGATCACAGTCCAAGCGCAGCTTGAGGGACTTGCAGGAGCATGCCGCAGCCCGTGGTGGCAAATGCTTGGCTGCTGAATATGTTGGCGTGAAGGCGAAAGTTCCGTGGCAGTGCGAGAAAGGCCACACTTGGAGTGCGAGTGCAGACAGCGTGTTGAATATGAAGACCTGGTGCCCGATTTGCGCAAAGCGTACGCCACTGGGCTTGGAGCGACTGCGGAGCCACGCTGCCCGCCTTGGTGGACAGTGCCTGGCCGAGGACTACAAGAATGCCCACACCAAGGTGCGATGGAAGTGCAGCTCTGGCCATGTATGGCGAGCAACCGCGAATGATGTCATCAATGGTGGCACCTGGTGCCCCGAGTGCCAGAAGATCGGCCTGGCACGTCTTCAGGCACACGCCGCGTCGTTGGGTGGGAGGTGTCTGTCCAAGAAGTATAGCAACCGCACTGCGAAGGTTCTTTGGGAATGCCAGCTTGGGCACAGGTGGAAAGCCAGCGCTTCTAGCATCCTTCATCAGAAGAGCTGGTGCCCTCAATGTGCGGCCAGCACTTGGAAGACGGAAGCCGAGATCCGGAGCATTCTGGAAGCCATCTTCGCTCCTTCAATGTTTGAGTCGTCCTATCCTAAGTTTCTCGAAGGGTTGCAGTTGGACGGCTACTGCTCCGAGTTGTCCTTGGCTTTCGAGTACCAGGGGGAGCAGCACTACGATCCTGACAACTACTTCCATTTCGGCGACCCTTCAAGCTTTCAGAGTCAGCAGGAGAGGGACGGCAGGAAGCGACAGCTTTTGCGAAGAGGCCGGCGTGCGATTGGTGCTGGTGCCATGTTTTGCCAACGACAAGCGCCTTTTCGTGCTCACAGCTCTGCTTCAGTGGTTCTCCATCGCTCAGATCACGGCCCCGATGTTGTCGCAAGCTAGCGGCTAACGGTTTCTCGCCTCCGCATTGTGACGGAACAAGTGGAGGGAGTTGCACAGACAGTGTCAGTGGTTGGTTCTCTCGTGCCAATAATTCGTAGCGTGGTTGCACGCAAGCAAGTCGATGTGATAAAATTCGCGGTGCCATGTTGCACTAGACTCACTAGACAGACCTTGCGCAGGCAAGCTGAAGGACTATCCGCATGGCCTTCAAACGGCCACCGATTGAAACCCAGAGCCGTACACAGAGTTTTTTGATTGACTCGAAACATTCTGACCCTAAAAACTTGAGCCCACCTTCCGCCAATCCGTGAGCCTTGCCTAGAGCCTGAAAGTGGGAAGGGTTGCTACCAGGCTTTGAGGTTTTTTCTTGGGGTGTGTGGGGGTGGTTGTTGCTCGGAGTAACCTCGGCGATTGGGCTCTGTACGGCCCCGACAAAGGTCCTGGCCACCTGCAGTGACAGTTACCCTACATGCATGAACCTCCAAGCAGAACCTAAACCCAGGACTTGCAAAACCCTTACCCACGTAACCCCTTCTGCACCCCTTACATGCCTTGTTATGACTACGCACGAACCTTCAAGAGTAATTAGCGAGTGCCCTGCGCGAGGCGCTGACGAAGGAAGGCGACTCTGACTCCGACAGCGATCTGGTAGCGGCGTTCCACTGAGGTGCCGAGCCTGAACATTCAGATGAGCCCACAAACTTCATTCCCTCGCCCCCTCCACCGAAATTCTTGAACCGGCCTCGAACCAAAGCTTGAGGTCGGCACCAGCTGGAGAGCGCTGCCCCTTAATGTTTTAACTTTCCCTTTCGACACTCAAAACCCTCAAAAACTCAACTCCTAAGCGCTTGGCAGCAAGCCCTGAGAAGCCTCAAAGCCCATATTCCTACGAAAGCACCACAAAAGCCCCAAAACCAAGATGGGAAGTGGCACGTCGGCAAGCTGCGGGACCAAAAGTGTGATGAGCGTTCCCTGGGCAGGAGTGTAACGATGCCAGCTCTCGTGGTTGAGCCCAAAACGTTCCAGGCCCCAAAGCCTTTAAAGACTCAGGGTTTGGGGCTCAAAATTCCCAAAGCCCTAAACCCTCATGTTCACTGCTCTTGGTGGTTCCGGGCTCAGGGTCGTTTAGGAGGTCAGCGCGGCCGTCAGCCCGCAAATCGATCGCAGGATTCAGGAGTTTCGGCTTCTGAACCCTGAGCCCAAAACCAGCGCAGAGTCGCAGCGTCATCGGGGTGCTCTTGGGCAAGACTTCTCACTCTGGGCCATATTCATTGGAAGGCTAGTTTGGGCTTCGGCACTTGACTGGACTGCCCTAAAGCCTAAACTCTATGAACCCGAAACCCTTAACCCAGCAGACTTGACCACAAGACTGCCTCACAGGGACAAGTGCTTCCTGGCCCCTGGCGCGTGGGCTCACGCGGGGACGTTCAGGGCGACCAGCACGGCCGATGGAACATGTCCACCTACGCAGAGCCTTTACACACAAGAGACAGCCTTGCACCAGCCACACTGAGCTTCAAGTACCCAAACCCAAAGACCCAAAACGCTAAAGCCCAAAAGCACAGAAGCGTCCGAGGGTGAGCTTTGAAAAGTAAGCCATGTAGGTGCCCCCAATTCGTTGGGGCCTTTTGGGGCTGAAGAAGACACAGTGGACCCCACGCAACTTTTCACCCACCTGCAGCCATGAACTCGCCACGCGCATGGTGGCAGATTCCCATGGAGGCGGGGTTGAGGGCTTCTTCAGGGCTTAGAAGGCTTTTGCGTTTCAGGGTTTTAGGTTTTTAGGCAGACAGGGTTTGAGGGTTTACGAGTCTCTGGGCTTATGGGTTGAGGGTATAGGGTATAGGGCTTAGAGTTTCAGCGTTTTAGGGTATGGGCTGACACCATTTTCGGTATTAGAGTTCGACATCAGACCACCACTAAGACATCGCAGTCTATGACCCCAAGTCGCCCAAAGCCTCGCAGGCTTCAGGATTCTTCGGGGTCAAGATGCTTTAGGGTCGATGGGGCCCTAGATTTTGCCAAACTAGCTGAGGGATAGAGCCGAGGAGCTGAGAGTAGCTCCACAAGCACCTGAGCTGCAGCTTTGGCATACGATTCGCAAAGCCCAAGCCATCCATCACCATGTCGGAGAGCCCAAAACCCTCAACCGCTATTGAACCCCAAAGCCCGAAACACTGAGCAACATGTTCATGATTTTGGGGGGGCATGGTGGGAACAGCTGCTTCACTAGAAAATCCCCCGCCTCTCTAGGTTTTATGGGCCCATATAAGGCCCTAGACCCCCAGCATCCCTGAAACCTAAACCCCTAAGTCCCTCAACCCCTAAACCCCGAAGCCCCCAATTTTCCTAAACCCCTCAACCTCAAGCCAAGCTCCGGTCTGCATGCTGATGCCTCATCAGGTGTGCGCAGATATCGAAACCAAGGCTGACCGACTTCTGGTTTAGGGGTGAGGGTTAAAGGGTTTTAGGGTTCGGGGTTTGATTCCCTCTACTCAGTTACTAAGTGTAAGACTTAAGGACTTAGGGGCCTCAATTCCCTCTACTATAGGTACACGGGTTTTAGGGTTTAGGCTTTAGGGTTTAGGGCTCGTGGTGAACTTCCTGGTTCATAAGCATTTGCCTGTGGTAGGGAAATCAGGGTAATACCCCGACATACTATAACCCTGAAACATAAGAAGCTCCCCCAAGGGTACTCCTAATCTCGGCAACACCCAAACGATTCCCTGCCAGAGCATGGGCTCCATTTGCTTGGGAGTTCTGGCCGAGATAGATGGGCTTGCTGATGGAAATGCCTGGCTGTGCACGAAACACGCTCAAAAGCATGAACGAACAAGGCCTCTGCTCATGCCCTAAACCCTGAGCGACACCAGGATGCCCTCACCCCGAGACCCATGTAATCCATTAAACCCCAGAAACCCCACAAAAACGAAGCCCATGAAGCCCTCCGAGATGCTATTGGAGCAAGCCTCCCCGCCACAGTCGGCCGAAAGCGCGGCCACCGAGGAAGGCCCCGCCCGTGCGGCAAGCGGGCTCCATATTCCTTCCCTCTACTATCAAGTCGCACGCTCTTATCTCTTTTGTCCGGCTTAGGGTTTATAGGGTTCAGGGCAACAATAGGAGCCTACCTCTTGTGATTCCTAAACAAAGGGCGTCTTGCCATGAATTGAAGGGCTTTGGGCTCGCAAGCTGCTGCTTAGTAAGGGACATAGGGGAACTGGCAAGACAGGGTTCCTTCACAAGGAACTAAATAGGGTGCCTAGCACCTTACGCCCTGATCCCCAAGCTCTGAAACTTACATCCAGTAAGTTCAGGTCCCGAAGGCTTGTCGCCATCAGAGACTTCGGGTCGATGTAGTGTCATGTGGTGGAAGGCCCTGATTAAGGCTAGTACTAGGCAGGGAAGATGGGCCCCCTACCCCCCCCCCCCCCTCCCTTACATCCCCCCCCCTTCCCCGCGTCCTTATGATTCGTGAGTTAATCCACGACGTCCGTAAACGACTCTCTGAGAATCCTGGGCTTCTGGCCTTGTGAGAATGAACCCTCAACCCCTAGCGAGTTTGGAGCTTAGGGATTTTGGAGTTTGGAGGTTTCTAGGTTGGGGTTCCGAGTTTGGGTTCAGACTTGGTTTTGGAGTTTAGAGGGCTTGGGGTCAAGGAGGTTGGTATGTAGAGACTTGCATTGGCCAGGCCTTTGTGCGGAAGGTCAGTGGCAGGAGTCGCTGAGATTGACGCAGGACCCGGCGGCGCAGGGTTTAACAAACCCTAAGGCCCCCGGAACCCCAACAACAGAATTTGGCCTAAGCCCCTAAACCACAAACCCAAACCCCAAACCTTTAGGGAACTTGCGTTCTTAGCCACTTGACGTAGAACCTAATTTGCCGCACTTGGGCGCTGCTTGTAACGACCCATGAACCTTCAAGCTTGGAGGTCTAACCTTCGCAGAATCTACTTGGCAGGTTGTTTACAGCTTACCCGCCCACAACTCTGGGATTCCCGAAGCCACGCCAACCCTGCACCTGAGCCCCTGAACCCTTGAACTCTCAGCATTTAACGCAAGGGCCTGAAGGGGGGGAAAGAGCCGAGTCATCGGAGCAGACAGGATTCGCTGCGCATCACGAAGTCCAGCAGGCAAGGAATCTCTAGTTGTCGCGTAGGTAACTTTTAACCTTGCCGGGGGGGGGGGAGTTCGTATAATGCTTGTATGTACGATCCAAACGTTTAGCCTGCCTAAGTCCGGGTTGGAAACCTAAACTTTGACAGTTCTGGGCGGGGGCGTTCTACATTGGGGTCCCTCCAAATATCAAGGGTGCATGAAGTAGTACAACCCTCATACACCAAAGCCGAGACCTCAAGAACCAAAACGTGCCACACCTCCCCGCTTCTCGTTGAGGAATGAAAGCGCCCCTAAACCCTTTCAAACCCTACAGCCCAAACACCCCTAAACAACGATGCCAATGTGCAGGTCGAGTGCCAATCCGACTCCACGTGACCGATTCACGCCCTTTGGCTCCCGGCAAGAGGTGTGGGAAGTGTAGGCTTTCAGGCTAGGGGCTGCTTTGGGTTTCGAGTCTCGAACATCTTGGCCGAAACTACCCCAAACTACCCGAAGCTACCCCAAGCTACCCCTGAACCCTTTAAAGCTTCAACTAAGGGGTATAAGGATGGACCCCTAGAAAGGACCCTTAATCTTATTCCCCTATGAGGGTCCCTCCTTTAGTCCACTGATTCAATGTGATCAGGGGGGTAACCCTAAACCCTAAAAAACCCTAAACCCTAAACCCTAAATCATTGCCCAGGCCTGTCTTGAACCAGTGGATCCCGCGCGCCTCGGATCAGGCGACCTCATCTGCTTCGTGGTTATAGAGGTTTTAGGGTTTGTAGGCTTTTACAGGGCTTTATAGGGTTTACAAAGGTACTTAGGGTGTTTAGGCTTAGGGGGTACTTGTTCGTGCGGCTTCGGATTTGGGGGAGGGACGGGCAGGGGCAATCTGCAGGATGAACCCTAAACCCGAACCCCAAGTCCCACACCCTAAACTCTGCAAACCCTACACAGTGCATGAAATTTAATAATTAGGCTCCATGGTTTTCCATGTTCAGCTTCGACTGATTAAACCCTATACACCCTGAACTCTGAACCGCTCTCAGAAGAGGCGCGACTCCAGAACCTCGCGAAGCCGTCGGGGCAGCTTGGGCAGGACTAAGAGGCGGTAAGCCAAGGAAACGCGGAACTCCCCATGAGTTCCTTTAAATGAAAAAGCAGGATTTGGGGCCTGGGGGTCCTGAGCCTAAAGCATCACGTTGCCTAGATCCTTCGAAAGATCAGGATTTAGGGGTTTAGGCTGTAGGGGTGGAAACCCGAAACTCCCCATGAGCTCCTCTGAAAAAAAATCGGATCTAGGGCTTTGGGGCCCTTAGTGAAAAATGAAGGATTTAGGGGTTTAGCGGCTTAGGCAGGGGTTGAGGGGTTTTAGGGGGTTTAGGGTCTGGGTTTAGCGTTTAGTGTTTAGGGGTCCACAAAGGTTCCCGCAGCACGGAGCGTGTTGGACCTTTAGGGTTAAGGTGCCAGTTTAGACAGACGTCGGCGTGAAGAGCACCGGTTGAATGTCATCCGAGAGCAAATGTGAGAAGCAGTCCGAGCAGATCTTTCTCGTCCTGACTTGAAACTCACGTGGGAACAATTCCTGACAGCTTTGACCCACATTGACGTCTCAGCTGAATGTTGTGGTCTGCTGTACGCGGCGATCCTGGCAGATTCTACGGAACAAGCCCGCTTTGTCTATGAACCGCATGCCTTTGCCTTTGGGATTGGCATGACTGCTCGAGCATGGACCTTGCAGGATGTCTACCATGCCAGGAAACCTCGACGTGACCCGCAAGGGCTTAGCTGCTTTGCTGCTGGTATCAAAAACTCCGCAGCTCTCTATTGTCGGGATAAGGGTTCAGGCAATCCCTGTTAAGCCGAAGTGACCAAAGAAGAAAGGGTCTGCTCTGTCTTCCCAAACAAACTTTTTAACTTTTCAGAGCAACAGAATCCCTAAGTAGTTCTTGGGGTTAGCCTTCAGCTCCCTAAGAAATCGGAAGAGTAAGCCAAGGCCCTCCACACCCTATAGCCCCAAAGACACCACATCCTAGACGGGCGTGTCCCGCGTGGCACAGCGCGCATCAAGGGATTCCTTTATATAATATACACCTTATCTAGTCCACAGGTGCCTAAGAAGCCCTTAAAGAACCCCTAAATAGGCCCTAAGGTCCCTTACTCCTTTTGTCCCTGGCGAGCAAGCATGAAAAAGAACACCCGAGGCAAAAGAAAGCAAAGCTGAGACTCGAGGACTTTGCAGAGTCTTACAGAAAGGGGGGGGGGGGGGGGGTTGGGGTTGGGGTTGGGGTTTAGGGTTAAGCGTTTAGGGTTTAGAGGTGGTACAAAGGAACTCCGATACCCCTTACTTCCTAGGCACTCCGATACCCCCTTAGTCAAAGAATCTTCCTCTAGGTATACTCACCCGCAAAACCCTAAACCGTGCAGGTTTAGGATTTAGGGTTAGAATGCGTCAAGTAGACCCAACGACCCCACCCCACCCCCCACCCCAAATACTTATCATCTGGCCAGTGTATTCCCGGAGGCGTTCTTTCATTTTAAAGGGTCACCAAAGAAGTCCCCAAACCCACAGCAACTGAAATAGTCCCTCGGCCCTCCCGCTAAGCTAGAGGGAGGTAGGTACCTAGCCTTAGTTTACCTGAACAAGGCAGGGCTGGGAAATGAGCTACTGCCGAATGGGAAACTCCCACCACTACCTTAACCCTAGACAAACCCCTCCTAGAGCCTACACTCTAAACAGTGTCGCCCCCTTTTTTTTGCTGGAGGAGTCGATCTTCGACATCGGCACCGTGCATCCGCTGAGGCTCCATGCATCTGATTTTGTCCACCAGTTCACGCGTCTACGGACAGGATGTTCGTTGTTTTCCACAGGATTTTGATTGATTAAAAGGACTCCTGTGGGTACGATATCGTGTTTGGCGCTTTGGGTGTGTGGAGCTCTGCAGGGTCGAGCCGTCAGGGGTGCGCGTGGCACCGCCCCTCCCCGACAATGTTCGTATCCAGATCTTGTAAGAATGTTCGGGAAGTTGGCTTCTAGCATAGAATGCAAGAATGGAAAGATTCAATGGTGAGTGGGGGTAGTAGGGAGGTTGTAGTCGGGGAGAGGGGATGAGGGTGGTTGCTTTGGCTTGGCTGAGGATGGACAGGTTGCTGGGTAGCTCAGTGGCGTACTTGATGAATTATAAGATATTATAGGTCGGGTCTTTAGGGCTTCAAGTAGGTACCCCGAATTAGGTTATGGCCTGGTGAAACTCACGCATCCCTACCCATACAACCCCCGCTATATCTACCCATGAGCCTCCAAGCTTTGCAGTTTTTCGGTTTAGGTGAGCTTAAGCCCCCAAACCCACGATCCCAGATCCAAAAGGCTGGCAGGAAAAGCAGCTCTTAGTTCAGGTGTTTGTAGGCTACTGCAGCGATTACAGCCGGTCTCAGCTTTCCGAGGGTGGGCCGCACTGCAAGCCCTCGAACACGCTAGCCCCATGATCAACCCGGGGTAGGCTTTTCCAACGGAGCACCAATGTAAGGCCAACGTTGTACTAGCTACTATGCCCTAAACCCGGACCCTAAACTCCTCACAGAGGCACGAGTTCGCCAAGCGGCAAAGGCCCCAAACCTTGAAGCCCCTCAATCCTCACTCCTGTTACATCTCCTCAAGCCCCCTTGAAGCCCTGGAGTCCCGCAAACCCTTGATTCCAGGTGTAATTTTAGGGTTTAGGATTTAGGGTTTAGGATTTAGGGTTTAGGGTTTAGGGCTTAGGGTTTAGGGTTTAGGCATTAGGTTATAGGGTTTGGGCTTTAGGGTTTTCGGTTTGGGCCGCTTCTTTGCAAAAGCCAGGAACCACGACAAGGATCGCCTTGTGGAGTTGGCCACACCGAAGCAGGAGCTTGGCATCCGATCCCCTCCCGTTTAACCTCCAAGGGTTTAGGGTTTAGGGTTTAGGGTTCAGAGTTTAGGGTTCAGGGTTAGGGTTCAGAGCTTAGGGTTTAGGGTAGGGCCAATAATTTGCAATCATACTAGGTTACTTAGTAGCTCTTTTCATGGCACTGGCACCTGCTTTCTGAGAATATACTGTTGCAGTATACATACAGGTGTATACTGTTTTTCGTGTTTCGGGAGGGATGGGGGAGGGGTACTTCACGGTCTTGGGGAGGTTGAGGGTTTGGAGATGGAGGCTTTGTCGTCTTCGGGGAAGTTGCGTTTGGGCTCTTGAGGGTTTGCTTCTTTGGGGGGGCTTTGGGAGGTTGAAAGTTTGGGGTGGAGGAACCCACAAGCGCGTATCCTAAACCCTCAACCCCAACCAAACCCCAGACCAAAGCTCCTCAAGACACAAGCCCTCAACCCTGCCGCAGGGTGCTGTAGGATGTGGGAGAGAAGTAGAGCCACGGCACAGGAGCGAAAGCCAGACCCGCCCCCTGCCCGGCTCTGAGCCTTCCTGAGGAGAATCCATGAACTCTTCCATCTTGTTTAGGGGTTAAGGGTTGAAGGTTCAGGTGTTTAGGGTTGCGCGTGTTTAGGATTCAGGATTCAGGAGGGGGGAGGGGGGGGGGGTAGACCGGGTGCGGGATACGCAGGGTTATACTCTAGGCATTGTGCACCTTTGAGGAGCTCTTTTCAAAGACCCTTTAGGAGAAATGGGGAGGGGTACAGCCAAACCTTGAACATCGACTTCCCAAACCCACGAGCACAGCGTGGATGCAACCTGGAAGGGTTTCCGGCCGACTCCCAGCTTGAGGTCAAGGCGCTCATTGCGAAAGCGACGCCCGACATGTCTGCCTGCACAGAAGCAGTAGTCGGTCACGCCATCAGCAACCTGGAAGACTTGCTTGTTGAAAGCGAAGATTATGAGCAATGACAAGGTCCTGACACTCTTCGAGACTGGTGGTTGCTGACGAAAAGGGCTTGTCCTCCAGGTCTGACAAGTTGTCGCGCGGCGTTATGCCAAGCGGGCAGAAGAGCTCAGCCAGGGGGCAAGTCCGGACACTCTTTCAGATCTCCACTCTAAACCCTAAACCCTGAACCCGAAGCCCCTGACCCTGAAAGGAATTTAGGGGCTAGGGGCCCGTGCAAGCCCAGAACTGGTTTAGGGTTTAGGGGGCTTTTCCCTCAACTCTGGCAGGATCCAAACCCTCTAAGCCTTTTGAACCCCAAGCCCATATAGTAAGCCCTTCGACCCTGGATCCTGAAACCATTGAACCCCCTGTTAAGCTTTAAACCTGAACCCTTCATCGTCTCGCCCTGAAAGCCTGAAAACACCTTCAACGTTTCAGCCCTAAACCCTGCAAGGCTAAAGCCAATAAATTGCGGCCCCCTAAATTCTCAGACGCTAAGCCCTCAAACTGAACCCCCCTACACCCTAAACCCCACACCTTAAGCCTTGAGGAGTCCTGAAGCCCTAACCCCTCAATCCCCTCAACTCTAGATCCCCTGCATTCACCCTTGCGTCAAGCCCTCGTAGACCTCAGATTTGAAGCCCTTAAATTTCCAAAACCCTAAGACCCTTTTTGCCTTAGACCCTCAAACCCCATAAGCCCTTCAAACCCTAAATCCCCTTCAACCCAACCAAGCCACTAAACAAGCAAACCCTTTAGACCCTTAATCCCGCAAACCCTAAACCCTACATCCTAAATCCCCCTGAAACCCCTAAATCCCCCCTAAGCCCTAAACCCGAAACCCGAAACCCTAAACCCTAAACCCCCTTACGTCCCTTCAGCGCCCTTGCCAGCTCGTCTCCCCCCGGCGCCGACTGAACTTGGATCGGCTCTCCACGCTGGCGGAGCCTCAGGCGCGGGTTTAGGGTTTAGGGTTTAGGGTTTAGGGTTTAGGGTTTTTTGGGTTTTTTTGGGGTTTTTGGGGTTTAGGGTTTAGGGTTTAGGGGGTGTTAGATGTTCAAGAGGCTTAAGGCTTTAAGAATTTTGAGGCCATACAGATCGCAGGTTTGGATCTTGGGGGGTCTGCGGCTTCGGGCCCTAAACCCTGAGCCCTAAACCCTAAAGCATGCCCCAGGCTCTTGTTTATTCAGATCTGGGATCGAGCTGCTGTGTTGCCCCCTGAGATCCGCCGTCGACCCGACAAGTCGTCTTCGCTCCTGGCCAGGCGCCGCTAAAGCCGCCAATTCCTCTAAACATGGGACACATGGGGTTCAGGATTTAAAGCTTGAGGCTCAGGGTTTACAGCTTAGGGTAGCAGAAGACCGGTTCAAGGGTTTAGGGTTTAAGAGAATTTGCGCTTAGGGTTTGAGTTTAAGGAATTGCACACTTGGCCCTCCAAACGACAGGAGGGTGGGGAAGGGGCTCAGGGTTGAGGGGCCAGATTCCCTGGTTAAGGCCCATGAAGACACAAAAGGGACCCATCTATGCTTAGGCTACTCTTGGACGGACATCCAAAAAGATGGAACCGGGACGTCCGCTGCTTCGGTGCTGGAGTGTGAGTAGGTCGCCTGTAAGCCCTTTTCAAACCCTAAGGTACCCCCCCCGGCCAACAAACAATAGCAGCTGGTCGGATTCTAGGGCCTCCGTTTCCTGGCAAGGCCGAATGTGGCAGCGTTCAAAGTGTGACGCGCCTTGCGACCATGCAGGACGGGAGCCTCCTGGAATCGGGAGGGGTTTGAAGAAGATACTATAGCGGTGGGAGAAATATCTATAGTATTCCCTTCCTGTCCCTAGACAAGTATACGAAAATTACACCCAAGCCCTATTTTATTCAGGCCCCTATTACGAGGGTTCAAAGTCTATCTTTACAGAGGTTAGGGCTTTAGATTGTAGGTGGGGGTGATTTGGGGGTGATTTGAGGGTGATGTTTGTCCTTGCCAAGCTGTTGCTTCCGGTTTGGCTTTTGGCTCTCTGCACCCCCTACACGCCGAAGTCCGCCGGAGCTTCCAAGCACTGAATTCAAATTTACACCCCCAGTTGCCACTATGAGTGTGCCCAATGCAGCACACACACCCACCCACCCGCCACACGCACACACACACACACACACACACAGAGACAGATCCTATAAGCGCCAAATGCTAAGTCCTAGATGTTGAAGTTTTGTGTCCAGGGTGAGGGTTTAGCCTTGAAAACTATTCCCCGCTTCCACAGGGTTAGTTAATCAGGATCCTTTCCGGGGATTCGGGGGAGCCATCTAGAGCCAAACACCCCGAAGATACGCTAAACACGACATGGTATTCTGGTGCTTCGGGGGCCTTAAGCGGTTCAGCCTCACAACCCTGAAATTCCAGCTTCCAGCGTAGCCCTTATTCCTTTTTGGGTTCAGATTCCTTGTAAGCCCCTTGAAACCAAAAAGAGCACCCTTGTATTCCTAGGTCCTGTTACTCTCGGGTCTAACAGCTGACTGAAGCACTAGAAGCGTGTCTAAGCCCTGATGATGCAGATAGGTAGCGGAAGCCCGTCAAGCCCTTAGGGTTTAGGGTTTAGGGTTTCGGGTTGAACCTTAGCAACGCCCCCCCCCCCCCCCCCAACCCTAGAATCCCTGAAGCCCTAACTCCCTAAACCCTAAGGCCCTACAACCCCTAAGGCCCGGAATTCTTAAGCCCTAAAAGGCCCTACAAGCCATGAATTCTTAAAACCAAAAAGGCCCTAAACTCCAAACACCTTTCTCCCGCCTAAGAGCCCTGCCAGGAGAAGGGGCGTCACTTCGATCCGACCGTCTGAGAGAGCTTCCAAGCAAGGGCCCACAAGCTGTTAGCGGTTTAGGGTTTAGGGTATAGGGTTTAGGGTTTAGGGTTTAGGGTTTAGGGTTTCGGGTTTAGGGTTTAGGGTTTAGGGTGTTAACGGTGAAGGCTTTAGGCCGTTTTCGGGGGCTTCAGGGCGTTTAGGGGCGGTGAGGGGCTTAGAAGGAGCGTTTTGCATTAGTTTGTATGGATTTGGTGAGTGTACTATCTGGGCGTGTGTTTTGGGATATCAGTCATACGAAGAATCAACCTAATTCATACGGGCCTTCACATTCAAACAGGGTTTAGGGTGTAGGGTTCGAGGCTTTAGCTGCTCAGGGTCTTATGCGAGGGTTTAGGGTTTAGGGTTTAGGGTGAGCTTTTTCGAGTTGTTGGTCCGGACTGTTGGCTTAGCTGGGCGTTGGGAAACTAGGCAACCTGTAAAAGTCCCTTCAAGGAAACTTTTCGGTTCCGAGTTTCCGCCGCCCCCTTTTCTACACTACCGGTGTGTTTGAGTCAGGAGATTTTAGGCTTTGGGGTTTCAGGTCTTAACCCGGAACCCTACATCCGCTTCCGATTGCACTGCGCCTCCAAATGTCCTGTGAACCCCTTCAAACGCTACACAAGAAACTCAGGCTTCGAGGCCTGGAGGTAAGAAGAGACAGACATGAGAACAGCAGTCCACCCTCTTGGTAGGCAACACTCGTAGCAAGCGAAAATAGCTTGAAACACCGCAACTCGATCCTGCAGTCCTCCTGAGTTTGGGGCATTTGCTTGGCTCGGTCCCTCTCTCCGACATTGCAAGCAAAAAAGCGTTCGCCGAGGCTCCAGGGAGCGTTCTGTGAATGTTGGGCTCAGGATGGGGTATTTGCACGCATGTAGGGCTCAGAGCCTCGACAGTTAAGCTTCTCTTTTTGAAAGGGGGTTGGGCGGCCGGGGGCGGGGCGGCCGGGGGGTCCAGCTCGGCTTGTCCGCGTAAGCAGGATAGAACCCCAAACCAACCCCTAGAAGATGTTGCCTTCCAGGCGGCATGCTGTTGCCATGCGTTGAGAGTGTTCAAACTCGAGTTTACCAAGCTTCAAGGTATACACACGCTGACTTCGGCGAAAACTCTAAGTCTAAACCCTGAAGACCATAAACCCTAAACACTAAACCCTGAGCCCTTACCGTAGTCCTGGGGCGGGGGGGGGAGGAGGGTGGCCGTGGGGACCGGACATCGAAGGAAGCGACCTGGAGCCGAAAGGCCTTTTGTGACTTTTCAATGTCCGATGGGTGCCTTCTTTGGGGGGCGAAGGGCGTTTCGGTTTGGAACCTTTTGGAGGCCCTAAGCCCCGAAGCTCACAGGGTTTGGGGTTTAGGGCGCTAGCGTTTTGGGGATCCCGGCGTGCTTTCTTGCCCAGTGACTTGCCGCCGGTGCCTTCGCCAAGGTTTATGTGTTTTGGAGAGGGTTTAGGGACCAAAGTCCCTCATTCCCTAAAGCCCCGAACGCCTTAAGCCCTACGATACAGTGAGAAGTTAGTTCAGGGCTCAGGTACTCCGCGGTTCAGAGCTTCAGTCGGCTGGCCCCTTGTTGTCGGGTCTTTGTTTGCCTAAGGGCTTCGATGATAGAGGGAAGAGAGGGGTGCCTGTTTATGGGGGGTTTACGGTTTACTGGACAGAGGTGGAGAGTTTTTCTTCCTAAGCCTTAAATCCTAAACCCTAAACCCTACACCCTAAACCCTAAATGATTTAATGGCTTTAAGGGTCGGGCTTATGCTCTTCAAGTGGCTTCAGGGGTTAAAAGGCTTTGTTTCAACATGTCAGATGGCAGGAATCCCTAAACCTACAAACCCTTTAAATCCCCTACATCCCCTGTATAGCCTACAAACCCTACAAACCCTCTATGAGCCCCAAACTCACAAACTATAAGCCCTGTAAAGCCTACAAACCCTGTAAAACCCTCTATAAACCCCAAACTCACGAAGAGCAGCCGGCGCCAGAAGCACCAAAAGAGCCCATTGGACGGAGCAACTCGCGGATTTCGGCAGGTCGGTGGGGGGCACTCGGAGGCCCCGAAGCCCCCACGAATCCTGCAAAAGCCCTGTTCGAGACTCCCTTGAAAATATCAGGACCCCCCTAAAACCCACCAAAGCCCTAAACCCTGTAACCCGGTCTGTGACCCTAAACCCTGTAGCCCTAAACCCTAAACCCTAAACCCCTGTAGCCCTAAACCCTAAACCCTGTAACCCCAAGCCCTGACGCTCCGCTGCTGGGAAGCCTGAACCCGCAGCTGTCGCACAGCGCCTCGCCCAAGGCGAGGCGCCCAACCTGTCCCGGAAGGGTCGCCCAGAAAGCGTGGCCAGGGATTTAGGGGTTTAGGGTTTAGGGGTTAGAGGGTTTTGGGTTTTTGGGAAAAGGGTTTATAGTGTAGGGTTTTGGTTTTAGGGTTTACTGTTCGGGAGTTGGGGTTGAGAGGGCTTCGGGTTAAGGATTGGGGTTAGGCATTTCCGGGTTTTGTAGGATTGATAGGGTTTAGGGTTCAGGGCTGAGGGTTGAGAACTTTAGTTTTTGGGAGAAGGGTGAAAAGGGTGTAGGGTGTTTGGGTTTAGCGTTTTTGGGTTTAGGGTTGAGGGTTTCAGGGATTCTGGGTTTAGGGATTTGGTGTGTTTTTTTTTGGCTCTGATGCCTTATCCCCCTCAGACCCTTCATCCCCCGAGCATCTTCGGTGCCTGCAAATCCAAAGCCATCCCCCAACCCCCTCCCCTGAGCCCCTCTTCATTCTTGAACCCGTAAAGCCAGAACCCTGAAACCCTCTATATATTGACCCTGAAGCCCCTAAAGCCCTTTAAACACACGCACAGGGTTCTGTGAAGGAAGGACGGGTTTTTGGCTGCGGGTCGCATCTTGAGCTCCCTCCCCTGTGATTACTGGGCTACTGGAGAACCTTGGAGAACCCTAAACCCTGAACCTGAGACCTTAAACCTTAAAAAAACTTAACCCTAAACCCTAACCCTCAACCCTCAACCCTCAACCCTCAACCCTCAACCCTCAACCCTCAACCCTCAACCCTCAACCCTCAACCCTCAACCCTCAACCCTCAACCCTCAACCCTCAACCCTCAACCCTCAACCCTCAACCCTCACCCCTCAACCCTCAACCCTCAACCCTCAACCCTCAACCCTCAACCCTCAACCCTCAACCCTCAACCCTCAACCCTCAACCCTCAACCCTCAACCCTACCCCCAACCCTCAACCCTAAACCCCAAACCCTAAATTTTGCTGCAGCCGCTCCACTGAAGATGGGGGGGAGGGGAGCCTAGACCAGACTTTCCTTCTCCCGATAGCGGAGGGCGATCTTCGCTTTAGGGATTTCCTGTCTTAGGGCTTAGGGATTTCAGGGTTTGCTTTAGGGTCTCTAGGGCCAGCACTTGGGGCTTTGGGGAGCGTTTCTGACATTTAGGGTTTCAGGGGCTTGGGTTCGAAACTCTGTCCCCCCCCTCAACCGCTGAACGAAGTGCCGGCAATGGCCCGCACCATGCTGCGCGGCGTGCTGTTGGCTGCCGCCGGGTGCCGAGTGCTCCAGGGTTTTGGATGTGGGGCTGAGTGCTCTTTTGGACAAATTGCCGGAGGTGTTGGTCACAGTGAACAGGATTTATGGTTTGAGGCTCTGGGGCTTAGGGACTTCGGGTTCAGGATCTTGTCACAGCGAAATCAAGTGCCAAGGTGGTTTCGGGGTGCGAGATTGGTTCCGGGTTGAGAACCTGACAGCGGAATGCCTCGGAGCTTGGTGCGGAGGCACACTGGAGCGGCCCGGACTCCGGGGACCATGCCTGGGCTGGCTTCGGAGTGCTACAAGACCTCTGGGTTCTCGCGCAGCAGGGCTTTGAAGCAGAAGGTGTTCAATCGGGCCGCGTTTCTGTACCCCGGCGCCGCCGGCAAACGATCCCAGGCGATTACGGCGCTGACCATGGTCACCTGAGTTGCGAGGGCGGCGCTGGATAGAGAGATCAGGGGGCTTACGGCCTCGGGTGTTTGGGGATTCGAGGTCAGGGACGGAGCAGTGGTAAACCTTACTAGTACTCCTTTGTTACATCATAAAACAACCCCCTTACACCTTCATACTTCGGCTCCTGGGCTCGTATGGCATCCTACTTCAAGCCTTGAAGCCTTCAAACCCCACGCCCAAACCCCAAACCCTAAGAAACCCTTAAACCTTATTGGACCCAGAGAAACACACAAGCCCAGATTCTGGCGTCGGTTGCCGCACGGGGCGTGGACTACGCGGCAGAGGCGGGCCACGATGGCTCCTCAAAAATAGTTATGCTTTGCTGGGCTCATGCTCCCCAGGTTCACCCAGCCCCTCCAGCAGATAGATAGACGAGAGAAATGGATAGGTACAAGAGCGGGTCCCCCTCGGTTGTTTACATGTTGAGGTGATTTATGTTGTTTGATTGTCAGCCTTGCAGCCGGATCTTTGGGCTTCGCGGTACGAGATTGTTAGCAGAGCCCAGCTGCCCACTAGGGTTCAAGAGACCACCTGCTACAAGCCAAAATGTTCAGGGTTGAAGGTTCTGGGGGCTCTGTGCTCGGAGGTGTGTGGGTAGTTCTACTTGGGGTTAAAGGTCGGGCAGCATGTTGGGCACCTAACAACCCCTGAAGCAAACACGAACCTGCAAGTAGGGTTTCGTATGAAGGGTCATTTGGGGCTTAGAGTTTAGAGCTACTTGCTTCCGGGATCTGGGCCCGAAGAGCCGAAGCCCCATGCCAAGCTCAACTGACAAAACCTCCGTAGCAAATTCGAGGCGCCTGAAGGCTCGAAATGGCCAGTAGAGCCCTCCTTCCCTGGTTAGGGAGCAGCTTCCCTTACTCCGCTGTGAAGACACCGGCGCCCGTTTTGTTGATTCCTATGTCACCGTGCTACCAAGAAGTTGCCAAGAAGGACGCCTGAGCTCATGGATATCACATGACCCTGATCTCTTTCCCCTACTAATCCCTGAACCCCACGAAACCCTAATCCCTAAGCCCTGACTCACCTCAGGCTAAGGAAGCTGCAAAGGAGGCCCGGTGCAGCTCAATCTTATAAAACCCCAAACCCTAAGCCCTAAACGCTCACTTTTGGTTTAGGCTTACCTAGTGTAGGGTTTTTTCTGGGGTTCAGGGTTGTAATTTCCTCAACCCACAAAAAACCCAAACCCTAAATCCTAGGCTTGTATGGGGAAATGTGCGTTTACGATACTTCGGGACCCTGACTATGGCTGCAACTAAGTGGACCCCCCCCTGAAACTACTTTCGACAGCCTCATGAGCTGACCTGCGACACTTGGGGGACTAGTGCGCAATTTCGATGTCTTCATGTTCAACGAGCGGGCACTCCTTGTACATGTTCAGGCATTTGATCACATACTTCCAGCGGGAACGACCCGAGATCCGCAGCTACTTTGGTGGCTGCTGGCAACTAGTTATGAAGTGGGAACGCCTGGAGCCAGTGGAGCATCGCAATCCGCTGCCGATGGTTCTGCTGCAGGCCATGGCTAGCCCTGTCTCTGCCTTGGGACTGGCGGCATGTGGCCGGCATTCTGGTCCTGACTTTCTTTGGCATGGCTCGGCCTGGCGAAGTCCTTCGGGCGACACGAGCGGAGTTGCTGCTTCCCGGCGACCTGAGCCACGGAGATCGTTTAGCTGCAACGTGCGGGGATGGATTGTAGTGGCCGGTAAGAAGAGTCAACCCCGAAACCCTACAGCCGTGTTTCCATGCTGCGACAGGCATCAAATTGGATAAAAGACCCATTAAGCCCCAAACTCCAGGATGTGAGGCTCCAGACGCAACGAAACCGTGCAGGGGCAGTGAACACCTTTACCCTAACTCAAACGTTTTATCCTTAAACCCTAAACCCTAAAGCCTAAACCCCTAAACCCCTAAACCCTAAACCCTAAACCCGAATACGCGTACAAACCCAAGGCCCGCAAAGCGAAATCCCGAGACCTAATGCAACAAATGTGGTTGGATAGACCGATTTGGCAGGTTCAAAGGCACCCTTGGCACCCTAAACCCTAAACCCTAAACCCTAAACCCTAAACCCTAAACCCTAAACCCTAAACCCTAAACCCTAAACCCTAAACCCTAAACCCTAAACCCTAACTCTAAACCCTAAACCCTAAACCCTAAACCCTAAACCCTAAACCCTAAACCCTAAACCCTAAACCCTAAACCCTAAACCCTAAACCCTAAACCCCAACCCCTTTGATTGAGGGTTGAGGGTTTGGGGGCGCTTCCGGGGCTTGGGGCCACAGATCAATTCAGCCTTGGTACTCAACCGAGTGGGTCGCATCCTAGGACTGCGAAAATACAGGAGCCCAAGGAATTGAAGGGGCGTTGAGGGCTCTTGGGATTCTGGGGATTCGTGAGGTTTAGGGTTTAGGGTTGAGGGTATGAACACCAAAGGTAGGAGTTCTATCTGCGAATTGCCCCATTGTATTTGCACAATGGCAGGAACCCTGAACTCGGAAGAATATAGTCCAAATCAACGAGGTACCCCTAATTTCGGATTGCCAATTGGGTTTGGGATTGAGGCTTCGGGCTTAGGGTGCTTACCTTTGTTTCGATGATTCCTCCGGGCTCGGGGGTTTGACGGTCTTGTGATTTTAGGGGTCAAAGGTTCTATAGAGTTCCCCTAAACCCTTAACCTTAAACCCTAAACCCTGAATCCGAAACCCCGGTGAGTTTAGCGAATATAACGTGCACCCTGTGAACCTGCACTCCAATACTCGCGAGGCATGGAAGCACGCAAAGGACCTCGCAAAGAGCTCCAAGGACGGTCTAGAAGGCTTCAGGGAGTTGTTGGGTTTTAGGGTTCATGGTGTAGGGTTCCCCTAAACCCTAAACCCTAAACCCTAAACCCTAAACCCACCATAGAGTATTCTTTGATACCAGGACCTCAACAAGGGAACCCGAGTCTCGAAAAGCTCCCTTGGGGATAGAAGTTGCAGCGTGTTGTGGGTTCGAGCATTCAGCGTTCAGGAGCACTAGTGCATGTGGCGGCTGCTCCAGAGAGTGCTGTACGGGGGTTTATCAGTATAGCACTAACCACTAAGCCTTCACCCAAGCCCTAATCCTAAACTTGAGGGCTTATTGTCTTTTAAGTTGTTTCTCGAGTATGGCCCCTAGTATTGAAACCCTCAAAGTCAGAGGACACGCAGAAGATCGCGGAGGACGTGAAGGCCGGAGTGTACCAAGGGAAGGAAGGTTCGCCAATACGCCTCGGACCAATGGCTTGAAAGCATCGGGGGGCCTTGGGGCTGAAGAGTCCGCGCGTATGTACTCTATGTTGTGTTTCTTTTTTTTTTCAAAAGCCTCCAGCCGCAAGCCCCAAAGGCTTTTCAACCCTCTAAACCCTATACCCCTAAGCCCTACATAAACCCTCAAACCTAAGCCCTTTCCTCAAGCAACCAGCGCCCCAGGCGGCGGGCAAGGGTGCCAAGAAGGCCATGGAGAAAGCCAAGGCCCGAGAAGAGAGCCTCCCGAGTAAACTTGAAGCATAGACGCAAGGCTTAAGGGTTCAGGGTTTAGGGGTTTAGGGTTTAGGGTTTAGGGTTTAGGGTTTAGGGTTTAGGGTTTAGGGTTTAGGGAGGGTGTCGCTGTGGTCTTGCTTTGGGGGACCTCAGGGCTCCGGACCCGGCATCTTTAGAACCCTAAACCCTTAACCCTAAACCCTAAACCCTAAACCCTAAACCCTAAACCCTAAACCTAAACCCTGAACCCTTTATAACAGGAGATGGACACGAAGATGACGGAGCTCTACGAGGCTACGAAGGCCGCCACGGCCTCGGCGGCCAACGAGGCGCTGGGGTTCAGGGGTTTTTTTTGGAGTTTAGGGTTTAGTAAGTTTAGGGTTTAGTAAGTTTAGGGTTTAGGGTTTAGGGTTTTGGGTTTTGGGCTCAGGGTTTAGGGTTTGGGGTTTTAGGGTTTGGGGTTCAGCTGTTCAGGGCCTTTGGGGAATAGAGGTGCACGGGGGTTGAGTCTGAGTCAGTGGTCCAGGGTTGCAGGCTTAGGGGTTGAGCGTTTGGGGGCTTAAGTTTAGAGTTTTCATTTTAGGGCTCAGAGTTGTTTTGGAAGGGAGGGTCCGGGGTTCGATGTTCTGACTTGGGGTTGGATGGAGGTTGGATTTTTCAGATCTGGATTGAGGCTGGAGTCTGGTTTTAAGGTTCAACAGACTACAGAACTAGGTCTAGCTTGGGTCAATTTAGAAGGGATCCTAAAGCTGTGAATGAGTCTCAGGTGTACTTCATGCATGGTTGCACAGATCTCTAGACTCTAGCCATACAGTACGAAGCCATGAATATTCCGCGACTCTTCAGAACTCGAACGATGGCTTATCCGTCCTCATCCGCTCAAACCGAAGAAGCGCCATGAAAGCCCTGGACGGCCCACCCCCCCACCCCACACACAAAAAAAGCAACGGGATGACTTTAAGCCCTCACAGAAAATGCCTAAACTCCAAAGACTGCTCCAAAAACAAGAATCCCTTTTTCGTGTCTTCCTTAGTCGGTATATTTCGGGTTTCGGGCTCAACTAGCATCCTCTTTGGTACATCCTTTTGCATGGCCAGCTCTCTACTTTGAAGTCCCTTGTGGCATAGGCGGCCCACATAATCATGCAGTAGATTCCGTAGAGCTGAGGGCAGCAAAAAAGGGAAACCGGAATATCGAGCCACAAGCCGACGCCCTGGATCAGGCAGCCATGACCTACTTCCAAGAGGCCAGATGGGGTTTGGTGTTGGGGGTGTTACTTGCGGGTTCGGTTTGGGGGCCCAATACCCCTGTACTTCAGGGTTCTTCCTTAAGCACGTTTTCAGCGGTCCCATCATGATGTCCTTGTTCCTTTGTAACTTCCTAGGTATAAAGAACCAGCGTTCCATCAAGGGACCTACATTGAAACTATGCACTATAGCGTCTGCACAGGGTTGAAGGGCAGTTCTTCTGCTCTTGCTAAAGCTGGATCTCTTATATGGTCACTTCTCAAAATTATGGTCCCTTTTGGGGTTACTATTATCAGGCAGCCCCTGATATTTACGATGCCCATAGCAGGACCGAATTTTTTGAGAAATCCTGGGTCATCCGAAAAGCGAAGCGGGTTTACTGTGGGAAGACGTGTCACTCCTCCGAGGGCTCCTTGCGGTTGCTTGGCTTGCTCGTGATGGTTCAGTGGTACCCTGTGGTTCTGGTTTCCCTTACAAAGTAGCCAACCCAGAAACAGGGGTCCAGGTTGTAACCTCTTCTTTGCCTTGGCTTCCAAGGCACCTCCGACGCAGGCCCGAACCCTGCGGCAAAAACCCGAAAACCTTGCAACCCTAAAACCCGCGGAGATTCAGGTGAAGGCTGCAGGGGCCAAGGCAGCTGCGGAGGCGGGAAGCCGGCTGCACTTGTGATGCACACCTACCTAATCACGCATCACCCAAGCACTCGGTGCTCTCACATGTCCACGCATGTCTTCCTGCAGTTTTTCCCTCTCTCCCGAAACCCGAGAAGTTTCGTGTGTGAAGCTTACGCCCCGAAACCTTCAGTGGGGATTCTTTTGGCAAGCCGAAGCCCCCGTCCCTCCTTGCATGAGCTTTTGGACTGCAGGCTGCGATGCCCCGCAGCGAGGCGGAGGGCTGTAGGGTTTCGGGCTTGACAAGCAATCGGGCTTAGGGTTTGAAGTTTTTGGGGTAGTCAACCCCTTTAGATCCAGAGGATGACCTTCCCCGAAAGGAAGAGGTGGTAAGAAGACCCATACCCGAAACCCTCGACCCCTTTTGGAGAGCTAGGATCTGTGCGGAGGCTTAGGGCACCCCCAGAAATCTGCTTGAGATTTGGGTTTTGTGTGCTTCTGCCTCCAACTCGTTGCCTTTACGGCTTGTGGGTTTAGAGGCAGGGCTTGAGTTTCGCGGTGTTTTTTGCGGAGTAGTCGTACGATGCAATCGAAGTGGGTCGAGGGTGTGAGGCTCTATAACAAGCCACGTAGCTTGGCATACGGCAGCAGACTGTTCTTTCAGTTTGTGCGCTTCAAAGCAAGGAACACGCTCTCAGCTTCCTTTTGCTGCGGGGTTCAAAGCATCTGCCTTCAAAGTTTCAAATGTCTTTTGCCCAACCCCTCCCCACGCAAACCCACCCCAGGGTGGGAGTGTCAAAAGCTCAAACGATCTACATAGCTGCACATATAGGTATCCTTACACATCCCTAGTAACGTATGTCAAACCGCCGCCCATGAGAATAGACCCAATGACCTGCAAGCCCCAAACCCTAAACCCCGAAACCCCAAAGAGTGCCCCCCTCAGGCCGCCGAGGCGAAAGCTGCCGCCGAGGCAGCAGCCACGGCGGCCGTTGGGAGCTTAAGGGACGTGGGGGTTGGGGGATTCAGGGTTTAGGGTTAAGGGTTTATTAAGGGTTAAGGGTTAAGGGTTTGGGTTTCGAGTGTGCACGGGGTGTAGCGGGGGGGGAGAGGGGGCCATGGGGGGCGGGGCTACTCAGGGTTGTGTGGAGTAGCCTCAACAATTAGACCCTGCACCTCTGGATCCAGGGTGTTTCCCCTTGTTGGGCAGTGAATAGAGGAGCTGGAGAGTTACCACCGGGTAGTACTAAGAGGGTGTTCTAAGGGGTCTCCGAGTAAAAGTACGAAAGCGGGTTACCTTGGAGGTCTGGTTTCCTGGCCGAACGACCCCAATATCAACATTCTGAAGGGGCTATTGTGCGTTTCGTGCGCTCATGAAAAATAATATTGTGCATACATTTCGCACGCAGAGA